TATCTCAGAGTCCAGGATCAGAGACGGGGAAAACAGGAATTGCCATAGGTTGCCGACCCCTGCCATACTGCATCAGATCCATGGTCCATGCAGTCCATCTGCCTCTGACACTGGCCAGTACTAGATACTTCAGGAAAATATTAACAAAATCCTCAAATGGGCAATTATGGAATAATTTACACATGGGGAAACCCTCTTCTTATCCCCTTGCTTAGATTCTGGCCTGTGCCCTGAAGCATGAGACTGTCAACTGTTTTGCACAAACAAAATGAATCCTTACGATTGTAATTCTGTTATCTCTAAAAACGTCCAATCCTGCTAAGCTCTTGGCGTCAGATGCTCCAGCTAGATTCTGACATTTCACATCTTGATAAAGAGGAGTAGAGTAAATGCCATCCATTGAAGGGAGTAAGCACAAACACTGCTGACTTCAATGGTGTTGTAGTAGTATAGCACACAGAATGTAGGTAGTACTTCAGTTACTTATTGGTCACACAGTGAACTGTAGTAAATAAATAGTATTGTTAGCACCTCAAATGCCCTACCCAGTCCTATGGCTCTTATGGTTGCCTAACTCCCACTGAAGTCATTGTGGGTTTTGCATGCATAAAGGCATCAGGATCAGGACCTGTGCTAATATAGATTTGTCCAATAAATATCTAGTAAGACAACTTTAAATCATTAAACAAAAAGGAATTCAGATTTGAGGTGATCCACCCATTGAGTCTAGATTTTGCAGGGCTCAGACATTTGGAATTAAAGTATTGACAGACCATATGAGAACTGACATGCCCTGATACAAAGGGGTAAATGCAATCTTCAGAACATTGCAGAGACCTGAAATACTCTTTTACCGAAATACCGGTATTCCTAAAAATCTATTTTCCTCTGGACCAATGGCAATTTAAATGTGAAGTTTGAAGCATGGCATCTGGAGTTAAAACAGCCATGTTCTTGAAAACAAAGGTCCTGATAGTGCAGGGAGCTGCACGTTAGCAGACACTTATGACCATGCAGAGCCTCACTGAATGCTTCTAAAGACTGAAAGCCTGGAGAGTACTTCTGTTTATATTAATTTGAAATAACATTAAAGCAAAAGAGGACTGAATTTTTCTTTTTAATTTTCAAATAGGAGCAAATATTAATATTGAATTGATACTTTACAATTAATTAAAAAAATAAAAGTTTAACATTTATTAATTAACCCAGCTTGCTACTAAGATTATATGATAAAAACAATATAGTTGTTTGCATTTTCAAGTGGTAGAACCAGGAAGATAAACATATTTAAAAAAAGAAGAAAAAAATGAAGCAGCATAAAACAGCTGCCAACTGGGGAAAAAAATTGCCAGTGGGGGAAAAACATGCCTAAATTAATTAAAGCCATGAAATAGAATGGGAGAGTCAATATACAGTTAAATTCCAACAAGTCAAATCCTTTATATTGTGCTGCAAATTTACACAGTGCTTAGCAGTAGGTAAGGTGTACTAAAGCAAAAACAGAATAACTACCCCAAAGATCAGTATTATTATAGTTCTGTTTCATTGCAGAGTGGATTACAGGGTGATGAGGAAGAGGATGTTTTGAAATTAACCAACAGTGGAGTCGGAACTGGCTTCTCAAGTTGGGCCTCTAAAAAATTTTCAGCATTAGCCACATAAAAATAAACAGTACTTTCTCTTAAGATCAAATGCATTAGAGCTGAGTACAGGAACAATATTGTTACGTTATTTTCCCAAAAGGCAGATCTTATATTAATAAATTATTTATTTTTATTTTGTGACATTTAAGAAAGATCTGGATAAATAAGATTCCTGGACTAATCATAACCCTTTTTCTCACTGCTTGGCTTACTCACTAATTATCTGAAAATGACCCCATTGTAACCCCAAAATATTCTCTTACATATTAAAATCATTCTTGCATTCAACTCTCACCATCTGAAACACTGCCTTCAAAAAGAATGTTTACTCTTGTAGAAAGAGATTGTGATATTTTAATTTGAATTTTGTAACTTTTAGCAATATGAGATTTGTCTAATTGTAATTTTCCAGACCTTCAGATAGTTACCTGCAATTGTCTGTGGATCTGCTTGCTCAGACAGACCCACAATTTCTATATAAGCTTTGTTACTATTTTCAATAGCTTCTGTCCTCTGTACATTTATTTTGCCTTTTTTACATTATTCATCTTCTACTTGGTAGTGATTAATTGATTATCTTTTTCTTCTAGTTTTTTCTAAAGCTTCATATTTATTACTAAATGTATCTTTAATTTTTACCACAATCAAGTAGGTGAAAATCTATTACTTAATGGATTATTTCATTTGACTAGAGGTGGTTGAAGAATAGAAAAAAACATTCTACACTCTGAATATAAATAACTTGCCTCATCTCAGTTTCTGCTACCCATACATGTAAGTCAAGTAATGAAAATCAGTTTATTTAAATCACCTCTCTGACTTTTACTCTTTCTTTTAAGAGTTCTCTCTTTTTTTAAAGCAACATTATTTCTTCTGGCCTTAAATGTAGCACCACAAACTGACATTTCTTTGTAAACCATAAAAGGAGGGAAAGAACAAAAAAAGGATTGTTCACAACATTGAGTTTTAAAATCTTATTCTTAGCTCTCTTCCTGTCTTGTTGTTTCTTGGGTTCAAAATATTAGTAGCCTCTAACATCTTCAAACCATTTCTAATATGTTTGTGATATTTCTAACATGCCTATCATAGCAGTATCTAAGGGTATGTCTACGCTTGGAGCTAGCTAGGATTGTGGTTCCCAGCTTGCATAGACATATGTGCACTAGCTCTCATTGAGCTAGCATGCTAAAATTAGGCTAGCTCCCTGGATATGTGACCACAGGGTCCCGAGAGTGGGGGTTTCACTCAGGCCGGCTAGCCCATGCCACCACTCACCGCTGCCTGCTCTACTGCAGCTACACTACTATTTTTAGTGTGCTAGCATGTCTACACAAGCTGGGAATCGCACCACTAGCTCCAAGTGTAGACGTAGCCTATATGGTAAAACAAAGATAGCACTGAGCATGCCTTTAAGGGCAATATTTTGACAGTCTTCCTTGTTCCTGGTATGCATGTGTATTTTCTTTTGTTTGTTCTTTTCAGTGTGTCTCTCTTTCTCTCCCCTCCTTCCCCCCCTTCTTTCAGTTTCCCTAGCTACTGGTTCATCCTGGGAAAAGGTGTTTTCAGATAGGTGAGTCTTGCAATAAGTTGCAGGTTCAGGACCTATACCTACATTGACTTCAGTGGATCTGTTCACAGGGATCAGCCCACATAATCAATAGTAGGATCAGGGCCTTACATTTGAATACAGTCAGGATTGGGCTCCATCTGATCTCTGACAAGATATTCTGCAGCTGAAGTCTTGCCTCTGGAAAAAATAGATTGTGCCCCTAAACCTGTCTTATCCTGGGCCATTCTAATTGTAGCATCCCTATAGCGTGTAGCTGTCTTGCAAGGTAAAGGATGGATATGTGGTATTTGAAGTATCTTAGATGTAGCCTGTAAACTGCCTTTAAAATTAATCTGGAAAGGGACAACCAGCCAGTGGAGATTGTGAATTAGTGGTTCCTTGCCACTGATCCAGTCTATGTCCAGGAGCAGTAAGGAATTCAAAAAGACCCCATGGCTTTGTACTTTCTTGACGGATGATGTTTGGATGATCTCAATCAAAGGTGAGATCACTGTTCCAGTAAGTTTGTCACATTTCCCCCCTCTTTCTAGTAACATCACTTCCATCTTATCAAGATTCAGTTTGAGCTAGCTGCTCTTCAACCAATTGCTTATTTCTTCCAGGCTCTGGAACATCTTGGTAATGGAAAATGTCATGTCAGTGGAAAAGCAAATGAAGAGCTGTGTGTTGTCAGCTTATTGTTGACATTGGAGTCCTGGCATTTCACTATCTCCTCAAGTGTTATCATGTTGTATGTTGAAGAAGCAAGATAATATTGAAAAGGGAACCCCAAAATGAGTGGTCTAGGAAAGAAGGAGCCCCTCATTCTCTGTGATATGATCAATAGGAATGAATGAATGAAGCCACCCGAGTACTATTCTATCTCCTCCTGCCATGTCCTTTATATAAGCTAGCAGCACTTCATGATCAAAGAATGCATAGAAATCAAGAAGTATTGGAGTAGAGGTTTGGCCCCTCTTTAAGGACATTGGTAGGCCATTAATTATGGCTTTTTCCTCATACTTCTCTTTCCCCCAACTCTCAACCAATGGTTATAGGCCCTATATAAAGAAACTGCAATCTTGTATGTTTTAGGAACCATCCATAGAGACACCTGGGTGTGATCAGTGGGATTCACAAACACTCCAAACAAGTGGGAGGAAAGACTAAACTGTATATCAAAAAATTCTGCTCACAAGGAACACACATAGAGGGATAATTTATAGAAATTACATTACAAATAGAAATTAGCTCAATGGACCTGATCAAATATGTATAGTAAAATGCTGTTCTATGCTCCCAATTGAAACTACCTTGTACTTGGGTCCCCAAACTCAATCTTATCTGTTGTGTAGAAGGCCCATAAGTAACTTGTCTAAGGCCACATGGTGAGTCAAGGACAGACCCAAGATTAGAACGTAGGAATTCCCAGCCCTAAGATCAATCCACAAGAACATGCTGGCTCTGGTATTATACATTGTAGTTGGGTTCCAGATAGGAGTGTTTATGTGAGAGACTAAAATATATTATATAAATACATCTTTTTGTATATGTGTTTCTATTAAAATAAAATGCTGGTGTGTTCACTTAAGAACTGAGTCTTTAGAATAAAGTTTGCTGTTTCCTGCTTCCAGCCCCCGTGTTCTACATAATTTATTGGGAAAACTGAAAGTTAAATTGTGACTAGATCTTAAACCATAGATCATTTTTCCCTGCATCTTTAGGCATTCTCTTATGTTGGTTATTTTTAACGTAACAAAAACTAGTATGCAAACAAACGTCGTCTGTTTTAAAGTAAGGGATCTCAATTATTTTATGCATATTTTAAGATTTGGTAGATGAGGATCTCTGATAACATCTCGGCAACAGCTAAAATTGTATTTTCCTGCTGTAACTGTGGTTCTTGAATATTTATTATTTATATATATATTTTAATGTGATTAAAGTATTTTTTCTTCTCTGCCTTATTTTGAGTATTTAGTATTTATTTTTCAGTAACAGTAATCTTGCTCAGGTAATTTGACTTCCTAAGAATACACAAGACGTGGTTACAGATGGATCATCAGTAGTACTTTAAAAATATACAGGTAAAATAATTTTTGACCAAAGTGGTGGCTCCATGTTACACTTTTTTTAAAGGACTCAAGTGAAACGGTTACACTGGAATATAATATTTTAGAAAGAACACCTTTTATGCAAATATCTAGAGACCAGGGTGTATTTTTTTCACTAAACTTTTGTAAAGGGATTCTGATAAAGGAACAATCCCTTTGTAGTTGGGGGAACCTAAGGCACTCCAGGAGGGCTCTGTGCAGGGGCTTGCTGAACAGCTTGCAGAATTTGTCCCCAGAGTAAAACTTCCTCACAGATATTTAGGGTAAATATTTTTTTTCTGCATGGTGGGGAGGAGTTAGTGTACTCCTTTTTCCTGGAGATGAGTTGAAAGGTGTTCTACCTCGCTGATCTTCTCTTAAAGATGAAGAAGACGGGGGAGTGGAGAATCTCTTTCCGCCACTGAATTAGAATAATGGTAATTGAAATGGATCATCCTAAAGTATGTGGACCTTTACTAATGAATAGAAATGAATTTGAAGACCAAAGCGCCATGCTTTGTTCTAAACATAATCAAATTACAATATTCCAATCCAGTTGATGAATAGCATTGATTTATAGGTTTCAGTTCAATCAGAACAAAGGCTGAGGGGATATTATTGTTCTGTATAAATACATCAGGATGGCAAACACCAAGGGGGGAGAAGAGCTGTTTAAATTACAGGGCAATGTTGGCACAGGAACAAATGGGCATAAGCTGTCCATGAATAAATTTAGTGTGGAAATTAGAAGAAGGGTTCTAACCATTAAAGAAGTAAGGTTCTGAAATAGCCTTTCAATAGGAATAATGAGGGTAAACAACCTAACTAGTTTTAAGATTGAGTTTGGTAAGATTATATGACAGGATTGCCTGTGAAAGCAAAGGTCTGGACTTGATGACCCAGGAGGTCTCTTCCAGTCCTATGTTCTTAACCTTTCCAAAATGTAGAGTTCCATATTCACACTTAAATTAGAAAATATGATCCATAATTCATGACTGTACTCTTAGGAAACCTGGCAGTAGTATAAATTTACTGTATTCTAGGGAAGCCCTAAATGTCTCCTGTGGGACATATGCCAGGGTTGCTAAGAAGAGTTGGAAGACCGAAAGGCTAAATACTACATAAGGTCCAGAATTAGCAAGTTACTCTAAGCATCTGAGTAGTCCCATTGGATTCAATGTGACTACTTGCATGCTTAAAGTTAGGCACGTTCTTAAGTTAAATGTTCACATACGTGGCACCCTTCACAAACATAACGTACTATTATTTGTTTGTGCATTGGCAGCACACACAGTTTCTAATCAGGATAGATGCCCTGTTGTGTTAGGTGATATACAAACACAGTGGAAAATCCAGCAGACAAGCATAAAGTTAACTGCTTTTGTTTTACCCTATTATGATTGGAAAAAGGAGAGAGGGGGAGATGAGATGAGGCTAAAGTGGAAATAATAGGGTATCCTATGGAACATAGGATGAAAGTCACATTGGGCAAATGAAGATAAAATCTTAATATATGTAAAAAGCAACAGATGTTCACCTCTCTCTATCAGTGTTATAGAGGGTGAACAATTTATGATGTCAAGTATGAGAGGGGTAGCCGTGTTAGTCTGAATCTGTAAAAAGCAACAGAGGGTCCTGTGGCACCTTTAAGACTAACAGAAGTATTGGGAGCATAAGCTGCTTCTGTAGTTGGATAGCCATTCATAGTCTTTGTTTAATCCTGATCTGATGGTGTCAAATTTGCAAATGAACTGGAGCTCAGCAGTTTCTCTTTGGAGTCTGGTCCTGAAGCTTTTTTGCTGTAAGATGGCTACCTTTACATCTGCTATTGTGTGGCCAGGGAGGTTGAAGTGTTCTCCTACAGGGTTTTGTATATTGCCATTCCTGATATCTGACTTGTGTCCATTTATCCTCTTGCGTAGTGACTGTCCAGTTTGGCCAATGTACATAGCAGAGGGGCATTGCTGGCACATAATGGCATATATAACATTGGTGGACGTGCAGGTGAATGAGCCGGTGATGTTGTAGCTGATCTGGTTAGGTCCTGTGATGGTGAAAGAGAGACACTTCTGTTAGTCTTAAAGGTGCCACAGGACCCTCTGTTGCTTTTTACAGATTCAGACTAACACGGCTACCCCTCTGATTCTTAACATATGTTTAATCTCATTATGTTTGAGATGTTAAATGCATAAAATCAAGAAATTCAAAATGATAGTTTCCAAAGTAGGGGTAATTCATTCATTTTACATATACAGCATTTGTATTGCTGTTAAATGTATGTACATGTAATATGGCTAAGCAATAGTTATTGTGCCATTTTAATTTTATTTGGGATTTGTTGTTCTGGAGAGCATAGAAGGAAGCATTTTTTACCTCTATATAATTCGATTCCATACACACTTCAAATGTATATCTTTGGCTTGTGTATTAGTGTACAGATTTTGAAATTTAGAAGTATGTATGTCTAACAGAAAGGTAGCTAGCTCTCTAGAGCTTCTTTTGATGCCTTTAAGGTGTAGTACTCACCTAAAAAGTGATTATGTAAAAGTGGCACCTTATTGCTCAGCAGATCTACTCCCTATCTTTATTCAGAATTCTATTGACTTTTTGTAGTGGAAAAAGTAAGATTGTTATTACTGTCTGCCCTGCAGAATCAGTACACCTTTGAGAAAATGAAATAGATTATTTTTTGGCTTGTTCAATAAATAATTTTTAACACAGTTTCAATAGCGTGGCCATCTGTACAACCTCACTAAGGGCAAGAGGGTTGCATATATGTAGTTAAGGGAAGAATTTAAGGATAGTGGTGTTGTACTAGTTTATCTGAAGGCAGCATTCGATCTGTACAATCTGTTCTTATTGTTGATGCAAGAGTTGGAAAGCACATAACTTGACATTCGGATACCAGGCTGAGTTTGCAGAGCTGTCGATTTTCCTTGTAAACAGAGAAAATTTTAAGGGAATCATTAAACAATAAAATCCGAAACCCAAAAAGCCATTTTATATCTGTAAAGTCACTTATCAGAGGAGAGCTGTAGGGAACAGTATCTGAGGGGGTTATGCTACACAGGGCATGATATGTGCAATAAATCTTTTTTACATCATCATATCTTTGTTTCCAGGTCAGCTTTATTCAGCTTTAGAAAAGCACATAACTATCACTTTAAGCATTTGTATTAGCCAAGTTTTAAATTCATTCTTTCTATTAGAGTGCATAAAGGACCTAGAAAATTACTTTAAGCATTAAATACACTTTTTCCTTCCCATTCCGAGTCAGATACTTGAAAAACAGATTACAATTTTACTATTCCCCCCCCCCTCCCCCAAAATCACCATTGGGCTAAAAACTAGCCTGAGAATATTCAACTCAACTCATTGGAAAGTTATCTTTAGCCAATTTCAGGCAGTTTTGAAAAAAATTTCAGTGGGAGAGCAGCAGGCCCTGGGCCCCACAGGGGCCCCCACGAGACTATAGTATTCTATAGTATTGCAACTTTTTTTTATGGAAGGGGCCCCCAAAATTGCTTTGCTCCAGGCCCCCTGAATCCTCTGGGCAGCCCTGCAGCAGGCCAGAGTCCCTCTTCATAATTTTACAGACCAAATGCCAAGAAGTTTGTCCTGTCCTTGATCTCCTTCTTAACACACACGTTTTAGTTGAACTAAAACACTTAAAATGTAGATAATTCCATAAGATATAGTCACGAGGAATATTAACGAAAATTATTTCTCTGCAGGTCGGTGGTACAGGATCAAGTCCATATGGAGGCTGAATCTCCTGTTTCCCATGGAGTCACTGGCAAGGTCAGAGTTGAGCATCACAACAGAATATCAGTTTGTTTTGTGCATGTCATGGTACATTACTTGTAGATAAAGAAGTTTAGTTGGCTGCATTATAGTAGTGCTTTAATAAAGGTTATGAGAGAATCACAAGACCAAGAATTTAGATAAGCAGCATTTCTCTCACAAGTGTTAATGTTCTTATCTGACTCAAGGGAACGTTAAACAGCGGAGCCAGCCATTTTTTCATCCTAGGAGTGTAAAACTGAATAAAACACTTAATTCAAGTTTGGGAGCATAATAGTGAATTTTTAAAATTAACTATCCTAGAAAGAAAACTGGGCTAGCCAGTTTCTGTATAGGCTGTTAAGATCAGATGGTTTGAAGAAGTATTGAATGATCCAAGCCTGCACTGGTTGTGGAGCAGTGAATATGAAAACTATATTCACAAAGATAAAATCTCCCTTAGTGTTTGGACTTGCTTGCAATTTTGGTCTTTAGACTCCTCAACAGCACAGTGGGTGGGCAGTCAGAAAGTCCTTCCGCTAATATCTTCTTCGAGTACTGTACCTATAAGTTCTCAACGTCAGGTGTGCATGTGACCAATGCGTCTTTGATTGGAGATTTTTGGTAGAAATGCTCATACGGCCTGCACATGTGCCCTACACAACCACATGCCCTGTACCCAAGATATATAGAGCTGCTTGAGCAACCTCCCCATCCCCCAGTTCCTTCTCATCACTTTGTCCTAGGATGGAACATTTAGCACGCCTGCTTCTATCATTCAAAAGTTAGCTTCTGCCTTTAAGTTTAGTTAGTACAGTTATTTACTTTTATACTTTTTATATGCTTCATTTTGTGTGAGGGGCTTGTTTTATACTTCTGATCATTTAACCTTACCCAATCATCACCATAACATCGGATGTATTTCTTTTGGACTGGAGAAGGTGTTGCATTTAGGGGGACACACCATTCAGGGCAAATGGCCTGCCCAAGAAGCACTTTTACACATCAATCTTTTGGAGCTGCGGGCAGGCAGGAATGCTTGTGTTCACTTCCTCCCATTAATCAGGGGGAAAATCCGTGAAGGTCATGACAGACAACATAGTCTCCATGTTCTCCATCGCCTGTCAGGGAAGGGGGGAAGATCCTTTTCTCTTTTGTAACAAAACAATAAAGCTATGGAACTGGTGTATAGCCAATCATACCCTCATTTCAGCCACTTACTTTTCAGGTGTACGAAACACCATGGATGACAATCTTAGCAAGCACTTCTTCCAAGATTACAAATAGGGGTTGGACTCTCAGATTCTTAGTCACATATTACTGACCTCAGGGTTTCTTGCGGGTTTCTTTGTCACCATCACCAACAGGAAGTGCAAACAATTCTGCTTGAACAGAGGGTTGAGCCTCCATTCACTTGAGATGCCTTCTTTGTTCCATGAATTAAGGGTCTTTTGTATGCGTTTCCTCCAACATATTTAGTCCTCAAATTGGTAAACAAGATCAAGCAAGATAAAGCCAAGACCACATTAGTGGTTCCAAAGTGGCCCAGACAGGTCTGAAACCCTTACTTGATTCTCTTTGCTGTCTCTCCGCTGTTTATTCTTCCGTCCATTGCCCACCTGCTCTCTCAGATCTCTGGTCATACTCTCCATTCCAATCTGGGAGTTCTTCATATCAAGGCTTGGCTACTCAATCCTTCTCAGGAATAGACTCTTCCTGTTCTGCAGAGGTATCACAGGTGTTATTAAACATCAGGAAAGTGTCTACACAAAGTACTTACCTTCAGAATGGAAGAGATTTCAACAGTAGTGTGTCCGACAACAATTTTCACCCATTAATTCTTCCCTCTCTGCTAACCTTATCTATCTGTTGGAATTATAAAAATCAGGATTATCTGTGAGTTCCATCAGGGTTCACTGGTGACTCTAAAGGCCTTTCGTTCCTCTGTTGAGGGATTCTCAGTGTATGCTCATCCAAGGGACTGAGAAACCTTTTTTCTTACATTATGTTGGCCAGTCCAGTATAGGATTTAAACTTGATAATTAACTGTCTTATGAAACCCCCTCTGAACCAATGGCCACTTATTCCCTTCTTCACCTGTTCATGAAAATGACCTTTTTGGTGACCATCTCTTCCCCCCAGAAGAGTTGGGGGCTTTAATCGCAGATACAGGCAGTCCTCGACTTTATGACCTTCGAGTTATGACGAATGGCACTTATGATGTTTATAAATTGTCATCATGTTTTGATTTTACAGTGTCGGTTTCGACTTTACAATGGTCGATGTGACATTGTTCCTATGGGAAATTCGAGTTACGATGTTTTCGACTTATGACGCGATATTCAGGAACCAATTGTGTCGTAAGTCCGAGGATTGCCTGTACTCCTTTTACTCTATTCTTCAAGGACAAAGTTTGACTACGACTACATCCTAAGTTCCTTTCTAACGTGACTTCTGAATTTCACATCCACCAAGTCATTCATCTCCCAAGTTATTTTCCCGAACCCACACCAGTTTAAGGAAGATCCTCCCTTCAACACTTTGGACAATAGGAGGGTTTTATCTGGACAGAATCAAACCACGTGGAAAGTCTCCCTGACTATTTGTTTTGATTGTGAACAGATCCAAAGGGTCCACAGTCTCCACCAGAGTCTCTGGAGGTGGCTCTCAGAATGTATCCTCATATTTAACCTCCTCCTAGGGTGTTAGCTCATTCTACAAGATCTCTGTCTACATCTGTGGTGTTACTTAAACAGGTTCCTGTTCTTGAGATTTGCAAGGCTATGACCTGGACTTCTGTACATACCTTTTCCAAACATCATGTGGTGGTTCATTTTTCTAGATCAGATGCTGTTGTGAGCAGTGCAGTTTTGTCTTCAGTATTAGACTCAGCTCTGAAGTTCCCCCCTTCTGATGAGAATACTGCTCTGAAGTCACCTGAAGTGGAGCACCCATAGGAACACTAATTGAAGGAGGAGAGACTACTCATCTTGTGCAGTAATTGGAGTTCTTTGAGTTGTGTGTTCCTATGGGTGCTCTACTACCTGCCGTCCTTCTCTGCTTCGGAGTTTCCTTTGCGGGACTTTGCGATAGAGAAGAAACTAAGGCCGGTTCATCTGCACAGCCCTGTATATCCTCACTATGGGACACACGGATGTGTAGGACAAATGCAGGGGCCAAATGGGCACTGATATCAAAAATCTCCCATGAACGGTGCATGGGGCACATGTGCACCTGAAGTGGAGCACCCATAAGGACACACATCTGAAATAACTCCAGTTTACTGTACAAGGTGACTAACCTCTCCTACCTGAATACTTGAGAAGGACCATTACACACTATCAGAAAAACACATAATGTTAAAAGAGTGGATTATCTTAAATGGAGTTATTAGATTGATTGTTGGGCCAGGGGTTCATACAACCTTTCAGACTTTTTGGAGAAAATTAGATGGGGAGTATGGAAGGTAAGGAGATGAAAAATTTAAAATAAGGGAGCCACAGATATCATCTCAGTCCCTTACTGGGTCGAATATATCTGTTAATTCCTAAGACAGACTTCTAATTAATTCATGGGTGTTAGTAAGTTGTATTAAAGCATCTTTATTTTTATATTTTACAAGGATTTTAATATAACAATATTTTTATTGAGCAATTTTGTTAATGCTTTTTTTTTCATTGTTTCCTATAATGTATGATTTTTAGTTTTGTAAGTAATGTTAAAGAAATGCTGTAATTTTCATTACTTTTTATATAAGGGTATCTATGAGTGCCTCTAGACTAGGGATGTTACTGAAGAGAAAACCATACCATTACTTGTTCTGACCCATCAGCTGGGCGGATAGGAGAGAACTGAAATACAGACTCTAAATCTTTAAGAAACCAGCGTCTGTTTTCGAGAAAGCCAGGAAATTTATGCAGAAGGAGATAAACCTTGGCTGTCCTTTAGAATTTCAGGCTACATCATATCAGCAAATGCAGCTTGGAGAACAGTCGGTGACATTGTGAAAAGCAGTCACTTTAAGAGTCTGTGATATTTAAAAAAAAACAAAACAAAACAAAAAAACTGCACATCAACCAAATATTGACATTGAAATATTACCATTCTGACCTAATTGGACAAACATTTCATTGGTTTTGTGTCCATAAACAAATGTTAAACAGTACCAAACAAGGAATGCAGAGAACTGAAGGCATTTGGCCAATGTGTTTATTTACAGAGGCATTCAATATTATTTTGACTTACTGTTCAGTGAATGTCTTTAGGTAAGGTGCATTGAAAAATAAATAAGTCTTTTAATCAGTTCTTCTTTGAGTAGATGCATACATGTATTCCAAGTAGGTGTGTGCGTGTGCCAGAGGTGGAGATTTTTGCCTAGCGGTACCCATAGAGGGGCAGTGCTTTTGCCTCATGCCTGTAGTCCCTCCCCTGGCTAGATGAGGTGGCGCTGCCCCGAGTCCCCTCAGTTCCTTCTCACTGCCTGTCGGCTGTAGTTTTGTAAGTAATGTTAAAGAAATGCTGTAATTTTCATTACTTTTTATATAAGGGTATCTTTGAGTGCCTCTAGACTAGGGATGTTACTGAAGAGAGCTCTCTGTGGTTGTTGTGTCACAATCTTGCAATTTATCTTCTAAGCCTAGTATTATTGAACATAGTTAATAGTCAGTAGTGTTAGAGTAAAAGTTATAGAATATAGCATAGTGGTAATAGTAGTTCTCCCCTGGGATGCAAGCATTGCACTTTGTGTGAATTAGCGATTCCCAACAGTGACCTCACATGCAGTGCTTGCTCTGCCTTAGCAAAGCCAAGTTTAAAGAGTGCTGTTCGATCTGTGGGTCATTCAAAAAGAGGACTCAGGTGACACAGGACTTTTGCCTGAAGCAGCACCTGATTGAACAGGCCATGAAACCTGGCCCATTACTGAGGACTTCCTTAGGCTGCAGATTGCCCTCAGGCTTGGCAAGTGCTGCTGCTTCCCGTTCTGGGGCACGGGCTTTTCTGAAGAAGTGCAGGAGTTG